TGCTATGGGACCTAGCTTTTTGAGCATCTCGTATTTTATTTTGGATGGTCCTGCTGCCTTATTGTTAGGTAGATCAGGCCTTCGTTAGACAAGTTATCTCAATTTATTTTTATATATTGAATATATATATGTATTTCATTATTAAGTTGTTTTCTCTGCTTTGGCATTGATTTGTTGCCAGCTGATCACTGAGCCCGTCTGTCATAAAGAGAATTCATATATTCAAAGATAACTTGTCAATTTGTTTCCTTATATTTTGACCTCTTTTTATTTTTAACATTGGATACTGATTTTTTTTTCCTTTTTTCCTTGTTTCAGCTTTTTTAGATCATATTTGCCAACAATACTTCTCATCATGCTGGTCGTCGTGATAGTTGTGTCAATCGTTATAGTGGACGGGTCTTCCTTCCTTCCTCTCATGCAAGTTTTATGGCTACTATTCGCCATCCTTTTCATGTTCGTCAAGTAGTTCCTCCTGCTGCTTCCTCTGCTCCTACTCCTAATCCTATTGAAAGTTCTGCTCCTGCTCCTGTTGAATCCCATGCTCCTCCTGTTTGTGACCGGTGTATCAGTTTGGAACATAATTTAAGTGTTTTATAAAGAGCCTCTAATGATCATAATTAATTCAATAGAGATATTCAACAGCGCTTAAGGGAATTTAGATTTTATAGGAGAAACCAGTCTTTAAGAAGAAATATATGTCAGTTGATTCAAGAGTATAGATATTTGGCAAGGTTAATGCAAGGGTATAGGGTGGTATTGAGAAATGAGTATTATATCAATAGACGTTATAGAAGTATATAGATTTTAAATGTTTTTGATAAGTTGTAAAATATAGATAAAAATTATAAAATTATAAAAATAAAATAAAAATGTTTAAGTATAAAATAAGTTGAAAGAATAATATTAATCACTTTGATAATTTCATAAAATGCTATAGCCTCAAACATTATCCTGCTACAATTTTGCACTTTATGATTGACCAGCCTTTAACCAGCATATGCTATAGATTCTTAAGAATCAAGATCGTCTATAGCTATGTAATGGCTTTATGAAATTACCAGAGCAAAATAATAATATTTTTTCAAGTCTTAAAAATAAAGAAGTAAAATGATATGTGTGTTACTAATACTAATAGAATGTGGGTAGTTAAAGGAATAACGAAGAAATTGTAAAAGGGTAAGGGTAATTAAAGGGTAAAGGTAATTATTAACTTCGCTTTTGTTTTCTTTTTTTTTATAAAGTGATGGGGATTAACACAATTCAATATGGCGCAATCAGTTTCTCAGGAGGCATGTATGCTATCAAGATAGGTAAATTTTAATGGGGTTTTATGGCATTAAAGTATATGCTAATTACTATATGTCTTGTACTTGTAGGTCTTTGTAAGTCTTGATATGGCTTCGTAAGGACAGGTTGGTTGATTCAGTGGCGGAACTCTTCTGTAAACTTCTCTTTTTCTTTTACGTCTTCATCTTTGTCGTGATGGTGGTATCTTCATCATCGAGGGGTGCGCGATCGTGATCATTATTGTGATTATGATCATGACGGCATTCCGATATTGGTTTTCAGGAACTGTTATAGGTATTCTCTTTTTTGCCGTCACTATATCGATCTTGTCCCTACCGTCATCGTTGTATAGTTCTTGATCGCGGCATGCTTTAGCATTGTCGGAGTCTTCTTTGTTTTCAGGATCTTCTTCGGCCTCTGGATGGTTTCTTCAAATTTGCGTGGAGTAGGAGTTGCATTATCGTCATAGTCATCATCAATCACATGGAGTTTCAGTTAGACCAGTGTGAAAGGGAAATTGCATGGTCACATGAGTCTATGCAATGAAGATCCCAAAAATGACAAATCTGAGAAAAATGA